CCACTAACCTGAGTCCATACCACGCCAACCTTGTGAGAATTTCGGATCGCGTACTGCGGCGAAATAACAGTAGCTAACAAAACATCAAGCCAAAACATACACCCCTAGTTTTACCCTTTACGAGCAGCCCAAGCACAATACTTCTTCTTGTGCTTTTGGTGCTCTGATTATAACTTTTTGAGTGAAGAATACCCCAACTTACAGGTCGAGTAGAAAGTATTCATATTGACGACGTTTTTCAAAAAGTTCAATCGCTTCAAGTTCGTTCCTTCCACCACAATACTTCCTCGTATAGTAGAAATATTTTGAAATAGTTTCTCGAGTTGTCCTTCTGTGAAATTCGAGGGCAAACCAATCCTGATATTGCCAGTAAGGACGGTACATCGGCTAGCCCAAGGATTCGTCGTTGAAACAGTCAAGTAATTCCAGTCCGAATAATAACAATCGTAATCAAAGTCCGCATCTTCAAAATCTGAAACGAACCAAGTGTCAGCATACGGCAAAGCAAGCATCGATTCAAAAAATCTTCGAAAAAACCTCTCGTACAGCGAACTTGCACTGATTACGAGCATACCGTGGAAAGCTTTGATTCAAGGCTATCTGGGATGCTCCATTGTACTTTCCTTACTTGTTTTTATTATCCTAATAATGCTTTATTATTATTGTTGACATAGAATCAATTTTGGGAAAAAGAATGCATAAGGGGATGCTTTGTAGTTGGTTACCTTCTTCTAAGATTACTTTTTCGATATCGTTTTGAAATGCTCCTCGCATTCGACTTCCTTCCAGAATAGTAGTAATATATCGAATACCTATGTATCCTGTACAACGACCTGCTGTGACCAGCCTATCTACGAGTCAGTGCTCCTATCCTCCGGACGGATTTTGCACCACTTAACCGTCTCCGGAGGGATGGAAGCTCTGGTTGGCCTGGGCGAGTATCGATCTGTGATTCGAAGAACGGACCATCCGTGGATGATAGCCCTTCGCCACACATCACATTTGCTCTCTCTCTTCGATGATATTATGTTTTGTTATTATTTTATCATTATTATTATTGGTCTCAAGTGCTAATAGGAAATTTCATCTCCTCATTACACAAGATCTGAGATCAAATGGTGATTCGGGCGTCGTTTATATCCTGTACTTACTTTTATTAACATTATTATTTTTGAAATCGAATTTACTTACTCATGATCTTTCATAATCTAATTTACTTATTATTACTTTCATAAATGAATTACTATATATTTGAACAAAAACAAACCTTGAGCTCTAATGATAAGTGAAGACATTTTGAGAATAACAAGGAGCAGCATGAAAGTGCTCATGCTCGACACCATCGGAGACATCAAAGTTTTTCCAGAAGAGCCATAAATGAATTGATTGAAGTGAGAAGTGAGGTGATGAAGGTGTGCGATGTAACGTCGGCATAGGTAATAGACTTCGAAGTAATTCGCGGAGCGAAGACTATTATTTACTTCTCGTGCAGCTGAATTACATTATGAGATGGCAACTCGAACGATACTCTTTGCTCCNAGTTTTTCCAGAAGAGCCATAAATGAATTGATTGAAGTGAGAAGTGAGGTGATGAAGGTGTGCGATGTAACGTCGTCATAAGTAATAGGCTTTGAAGTAATTCGCGGAGCGAAGACTATTATTTACTTCTCGTGCAGCTGAATTACATTATGAGATGGCAACTCGAACGATACTCTTTGCTCCATGAACTAAAAAAACAATAAAGGTGATCTTGACACATAAACAAGGGAAGGTATTCCCGTCTACGCAATTCTATGATCAGTTCTCATATGGGAGGACACGAGATGCAAAAATTCTATGCTTTACTCGTCCCCATGATCATTTACAGGGATTATAACCCTCACATAAAAGATAGCAAAAAAAAATGCGGGACATCATTGTTAAAGGCACAGCTCGTGATAATTTTTGGGATACTTTTTTAGCAGAAAAGCGGAATTGGTTGGGAATAGTGCATCGGTGGTGAAGGAAGTAAGAAAATTATCCGGCTTTGCGAAAAATAATGCTCTTCAAGTAGTGGAGATAGAAGTTGTGCCATGACGGAGATGCCATTGAACGGTATTTGGACGAGATTTCAGTTGCGACAATTGCGCAAAGAGCCAACTAGATCGAGCCAAAACTGTCCAGAATTGCATTACATTGTCGCTGTGGGTCATAACAACTTATTCAAACATCCTACATGGGTTCCTTTAGATTCGCTGCAGCCCCTACAATGCCGAAGAAACTCGTTCGCTGTTGCTGTGGCAGACCAATAATACAATGCCTGAGCCTTTATAACGCCCTGTCTAGACCGTTTTTCGACCTCACCGCATCACATGAGGTACACGAGGGGGCTACAAATTTATCCTAACGAGTTATCTCATAAGCCATTTTAATAGTGAACTGTGCATTTGAGTAGAGATATCGAAAGGGCAAGACATTCTGACCATCCGACCGGCCAACCAAGCGGAGATCATTTCATGTCTGAAATGGATGGCATATAAATGATTTAGCTCTAATAAAACAAGTACGTTTCCTGGATGTGGTTGACAGCTCTCATCGATGCCATTGTTTTGGTTTCAAATGATCTATGGCTGTTGTCACAACAATTCACCTGGAAGGCGAGGTATCGGCAAGTGGTACACTATCACAGGCATGGTCCAGGGATCGCATTCTGGGTTGATCTTACCAGCCAAATCAAGCTTCCATCCTTCCGGGGTAGATGAACTGGTACTAAACTCAGCCAGGGGGACGAATGCCGTGGCCTGCTGTCCACCGTAAGTCATTGTGTAGACCACGGATGCATTTGAAACCCATTACGATTCTGCATGGGAGCCGAATTTTGAGGCTCAGTCTAGTACGAATCTGATCAATGTTGAAGCCCTTATATTTTATTCTTTGAACCTACCCACTTATTTACACATTTCGTATACAACAGAGGTGAAATGATCTACCCAGGTATGCTCGAAAAAAGGCTTATTTGGGTAATAAAAGAAAGAATACGAAAAGCGAAAAGAATACTTCACACCCAATCCGTGAGAGATCATCACTTTAAGCTTTTCATGTGAGATCTGGTGTCGTTAAGCTGCCGCCCAAATTGGATGGAACAAAAAGGCTCATCAAAAGGCTTTGCATCAGAAAAGTACAAGCCCTCGTAGCTAGTCATCGGTACTAGAATTGAATTGGGTACTCCCTATCCCTTTTTCTTAACAATTTCTAGAAAGCGACGCTATTAGGTGAAAGTTCAAGAATGACTGGTAATGAGGTTTCCTCACGAGCCAATTGCAAAATGGGCAGGACACTTCGTTTCATTGCATGTACTCTAGCAGTAGAGCTTTGTTTGAGTGAAAAAGTAACTTTGTAGGGAACATTCTCGCTTCGGCTCTTAATAGCGTCCTCTTGTCTTCGACCTACAAGTCACCGTAATGATCCATAGGTCAAGTTTAATGATTTTTCTGTCATTTCTCAAGTGATCGGTGCCGCAGACGGCGGCTGGCTTTTTTCTCATCACATTTCACTTTTCTATAGCTCAGGATTACGATAGATAGAGACGATATTTAATGTATTTAGATAACTTCGCTATCTGTAGTCCTACGTGGCTTCCTTTTCTTTTCCTCTGATAAGTTCTGAAAATGGCCAGTATTTAGATTTACAAGAGCTTACGATGCTTAGGAGATTGTTTGTAGTCAGTCAGTCATTCTCTAACTCTGACTTATTCAAGTTTTTGATCAGAAACACGCTTACAAGCCTATGCGATTCGGTGTACTGCTTCTAGTCTATCTTTGTGTTAGAGAAGGTCAAGCGATCCTGTTCTTTCCCTCACTGTTGCCGTCCTTGGATCAAAGTGAGTCTCTTGCTAATCTTTGAAAATCTTTGAACTACTTTCTGGAGAATATTATTTATCATGAATTTTTGTAAGTGCGACAGTCAGCTCTGTAGGATCAAAAAATGAACGCAACTAAACCGAGGGTTTATCACGACAAATATGGCTGCTTAGGTAGTAATGAAGGTGGCGACAGATGCACATGATACTGTTTCTCGGGGTCAATATTTCTAAAAAAATTAGTAATAACTCTGCCTTGTTATAATGAGTGTACGAATTCTCCTCACTACTATGACGAGCTGTTACTTCAAATTTCAAGGCATCAGTCGCTTTTCTGATAGCCCTTAGCTTACATGTTGTATTTCTATGTAGTGCTGCCAGAAAACCCAGTAATGATCTGTCAGTAAAGACGAACTGGAAAGCTGTTGAAGCCAGCTTCTCCTACTCGTCCTTACTAAGTGACCCACTTTTTTAAGTCGTCTAATAAGGGAGAAAAGGGGAAAGCGTAAAGAAATCGAATTGTAAGGACTTAGTTTGCCACACCAGAGGTGCAGTCAATTTGACTTCTTAACTTTTTGTTTTGTTCAGACCTTGTCGTGTTCGGCCGGACTAATAAAAGAGTAAAACGGTTTTCAGCTTCATTGAAGTCTGCAATGGGGTAGCAATAATTGTGTACAAAGGGGTCGTTACTCAGATTCGAAGAGAGATGGTTCTCATCAAAAGATGTGTCTCAAAAGACCTATCCTTATCAGTCACTGAAAGAGCAGTTTGGGAGGGGTAGGGATGTAAGGTCAAATATGTATAAAGTCAATTATACATTCAAAAGTAGCTGACTCGTTTTCAACTCTCTTTCTGCTTGATTAGTATGTCCTGTACAATTGTCCAGCCAAGTTTTCAGAATGGAGATCTCAGAGACTGCGTTTTCCTGAATACCATTGGAGTGGATTATGTGTCGAAGGGCATAGTCAGTCGCCCATCGACCTCGTGTTAGGTTGAGTTTTAAAGAAAGTATCTATCGCCCATCGACCTCGTGTTAGGTTGAGTTTTAAAGAAAGTATCTAAGTTTTTTTTCCCCAGTTAGTCAGGTGGAAGATTACCATCGGACACATTTACGAGTCAGCTGTTTTAAATCTTTAAGGAGACGCCGAGATCACCTACAATGAAGAATTGGAATTCCATAACTATCAGAATAGTGGTCCAGTTATTGTGGATAACCGTGGACATTCAGGTATCCAAGAAATCAGAAAAATGTGATTGAATAATTCCTTTAATATTACGTCATACAAATGTCATTAGGTAAGACAAGCTCGCTGTTTTGCCCTTTCAAATTGAGGAAATAGCGCAGTACATTCCGGGACCGTTAACAGCATTCCATTTTTATGGGACGTGAAACGTTTCATGCCACCTGGGTCGCGGAAAGACGCTTCGGATTGTTTCGATTTCTCTAAATAAGATAAGATACATTAGGTCTGAGCTACAAATTGATTCGTCAACTCGGAATTTTTTTCTCGAATAAAACGACAAAGTGCAGTTTCGTTTAAAGACTGAACTCTGCAAATAACAGTTTTCGAAGATTATCGACAGAGGGTCAGGTCCTTTGATCACGTTTCTGGTTTGCGCCCCGCACTCGACTTCCATTCGGAATATGTATTGACCTGTTGAATGCATAAGTGGCCTACACAATAGCTTGCAGTGGGCAGCCGATGTGCAAGTCACTGCTTTTAGCCTTCCGTACAAGTATGGTACGAATTGACCAAACAAATAGTGACGGATGCTTGGTTGGCCCAAGTGAGTATCGATCTGGGACTCGATCCCTGGGTCACGTGTGTGTAATGTTGCACTCTTTGGCGCTACACCATTTTCCGAAGATATCTGGAGTAAACTTCTGATTGCAGTCTGGTTGCTGGCAAAAGCATAGCTTTAGGAATTGCATCATACTAATTGTTCATTTAGAGTTTCCTTTGTAAATGGCATGTCCTGCGGACGTGAGGAATGGAAGTATTGCAAACGCAAATCAAATACTCATTACATACTAGTACATAAGTATGATTAGAGAAATATCATAGTTGTAGTAAGGAGGAAATGAAAAAGTAGAGATGACCTTTCTGTCAAGACAATGATCGATTTCGTGATTAAATAGAGATTGTGAATGACTGTAAACTTTCAGGTCACATCAAGGGTTTCCTCACATGGGACGAACCGCCTTACTTCACTGGTGAGGCTCATATCTTCCCACTCTTCCAGAGAATGAAACGATCATCGTTTGCATGTATTTTTTTTTCCTCAGGAGGCGGAGGCAACTCGAGCGGAAAATATTTTCTCCGACAATTACACTTTCACTGGAACAGTGAGCACACTTTCAATGGACTACGTTACCCACTTGAGGTGATCGACTTTCTTTACCTTACTGAACCTGCACATGAGTTGAGCACCATTTTTTTGCCGAGTCTTCATTAATTTTATTTCCAAACGTAATGCTGTTAAACCTAGCTCTTACGATGCTCCGAGGGAAACCAGTAGGGAACAGAGATGGAGGATGAGGGGGGGGGGGGGGGGGGGGGGGGGGGGGGAGGGGACAGAGAGAGATTTTGCCGGTATTCTCGAAGTTGAACTTAATTGAGATTGGCTTTAGAGTCCATAGGGCAATCTTTCGCTGTAGGAATCCCTGAGTTCTTCTCTTCTTTTTCTTTTTGCTTATATTCTGACTAACAATGTTTGTCAATATATTTACTCAACATTTCCAGCTACACCTTGTACACTTCCGCGAAGGTTTTAAGCCGAATGTCTACGATATTCCCAGCTCCATCTCCGTGGTAGGCTTCGATTTTCTACTCTAAATGTAATGCTTTATTTGCTTGCTTCCATACCCCAGGTTGCTGTGCCATTCCTGATCGTTGAAGAAAGACTTGCAGGAATCGACGATCTTCTGACTGCTATAAATAGCTTCGGTACGGTCTTTTATCTGATTATTTGACGTATATCTGTTTATATATTTATTTATCGTACACATATGCACGTTTGCATATATCATACGTATATACTATTGTTACTGTTACCGCACTAGACTTTGAGGTCTTTTTGGGTCAATGTCAAACAGGTGCGTACAACTGTTTGACCCGAAAACACCAAATTAAAGGCACAGTTCACAATAATTTTGGTAATCCAGATTATGATGAAAAATGGGCGACAAGATCGAATATAGTGCGATGAAGGTAGAGAAACTGCGTGAATCGGTGTTTCCGAAGTGAAAAAAGGCTTCGAAAAACCGTTAAACAGGGGGCTGGACGAGAATAAGTTCAGAAAAATGGAGAGGAGTGGGGCATCTGGATGAGCTATACAATGTGTCTCACTACGTACGTGTGGGTCCTGGTACGAATAACAGACTATGGTAAGCAAAAATTCATTCACTTATAAGCATAAATAAACAAAAACCCTAGGAAGAGCAAAAGTAACTCACCTTTTTCAGCCTCTTGGGGCAGGAAGTTGAATAAGGGATTGCGGCAGCAAGAAAAATAACAGAGGAAAAAAGAATGGGAGAAAAACATCGCCTTTTTACTCGGCGACAACTGGTTGTGTGTGGGTCCCAGAAAGAAATTTGCAATCTGTATTGTCTCGACACTCGTCACTGACGTCTGACGTGACATCGACCGAGAGGCGGGAAGGTCATTGACGTCCCCGCCCATTGAATTATCGTGAACTGCGCTTTTAAGTCCACTAAATGCCGCTAGCATACTGCAATGTCAACACGGCTTTTGTTCAGGTGCTATAGAGCCAGTAACATCGTTCAACCCATCTGTGCTGTTGCCAAATGATCGCATAACATATTACAAATACACAGGTAAGAGTTGTTACAGTTTTGTAAGTGCTGAAGAATCCAATATATCGGGCGAAGTGCCTTTTCAGAGCCATAAAATTAAGGAAATATGAGCTCGTGTAGAAAAAATGAAGATGCGAAAAAGCGGGTGAGGGTTTATGGGTAGAACTCGGGTTAAAATGTAGTTGGAGCGGAAGGTCACTCTTCCTCTCTTACCACAAACGCTGGAGTGCAGTAATGGAGAGTGGTCTCATCTAGCGAGTAGGACCGGCTCATAATGGTGCTCGGTGATGTCTCTAACCTGTTTTTTTTCCCAAAATAATAGGAGGAAAGGAAGTGGGTGAAATGATTACCTCGTGCAAAAAGCTGGGATGGGGAAAGAATTAAAAATTTACTTGGCAAATGTATTGAAGAGGGCATTTCCATGATGACTGGCTACATTTTCACCGCAATTTGATTGAGTTGCAACAATGACGTGCTCACAACTACAAGTAATTCACCTTCGGAAGAAATACTCGTTTGAGAGCTTTGAGATCCCCACATTTCTTATTCCATTGCCATCCTTCAGAGTCCAGTTACTCAACTCATGAATGTCCTCAACCGTTCAGGGCTTGGTCTAAATTGTTTAAACAGGAGGAGTAGGAAAGGAATCATGAAGACGAGAAGCAGAAAGATGGATGTTTTCAGGATCATTGACAACACCTCCTTGCTCAGAAGATGTTACATGGTTTGTGTTTCCCGAACCGAAGTTGATCTCCGCTAAACAGGTAAAAGATGTTCGAGGTATCGGGGTAAAGAGATACCTCTTTAGAACGAACTTATCTGATCAGAAACAATTTGAGCCTGTCCGTTTGGTCTTATAATGCACCATTTTGAAAAAGGCTACAGCCTTACTAACTTCTGATCATTCAATCGAATTAATCTGCTGTCTAGTGTTCTCCTCTTCGTCGGATTTTGGTTCACATCCGCATCCGTAAATTAACTAAAGTTTTATGAAAACCGCCAAAGAGAATGCGTAAAAATCTGCCCGAGTGATGCTGAAAAAGGCTTCTGACCGAAAAATTGAAATAAGTTTTCGAATTGATATTTCCTCAAGATTTGATTGCTTCATTATCTTGCCGACTTCGTAAAACTTATTTAGGTGGAACACCTAATAGGTCATTCAGATAGACCTTTCGTCGGAAGTGCAAGACCAGTGCAACACATGAATGGGAGGAAGCTGTACCTAAATAAGTAAGTGAATGACTGAAATCTCTTTTTACAGTTTTCAAATGTAAACTTACTGCTCTACAGCCCAAGATTCTGATAGATGTTTCAAGCTTTGATGACCACAGTCAACTAATATATGTATATCAATCACCTATCGACCCCTTTACCTCCCATTTGTTCGAGGGAATGACAATGTCTCCATTTGTTCCCCACTGTAGCTCAATGGAGCCTCTTGCTGGATGAACAAGTGACAAATAACTCATTTCGTTCGGAGCGGAGCTTTTGCAAAGACGTTTGACCACCGGGGTGGAGTTCGTTCTAAGCTCTGATCCTTCTAGTACTTGCTTCGCTTCGACGATCAACACAATGTCCAAAATACGACTCGTCCGACTGACCTGATCTTTGATGCCT